AATAGTGCTGAATAGTTTGCTCCCGACTTAAAGTCGATTCTGTGAAACAGGGACAAAATCTGAGTCCAAAAGCATGAATATAGTTCTATGTTTATCTGTACTTTAGCTGTGATGTCCAGGCTGAGTCACCAACCCTTACATTTATTAATTTATTTAAACTTGGAGTCTTGCACGGAAGCCCAAAACGGTCGTGTCCCTCCAACAAGTTCCTTTTCTCATTATCTAAAGATAACGAAAGCCGTTTTCTCGTCATAACGAGAGGATTGGTTTGTGTTAAAGCTGATTACATCCTTTAATACCACGACAGCGGGAGAGGATTTATAAGGCCCAGTCCTTTTTCTCTCACTAGCACTCGGTTTTGCACGTTCATGTGTAAGGTTAGTGTATCCCAATAGTTATAGGAGCTAGGGGGAAGTGCTCCTCCATCATGGCTGTCTGTGTGTAATTTTGTTGTTGTTTTGATGATTTGCTTCCACTTCTGCTTCATCAGCAATCAGCCCTTTGCCTCCAGGTGTTTCTGAACAGCCCAGGTGTTACACCTGCAACAGGATGCATTAACCCAAAAATGAGTCCAGATTTGTACTGTACTCCATGCAATCCAATCATCCACCACCACCTGACAATGAGTGAAAAGAAAAATAAAACAAAAGAACTGATTATTTGTTTACTTGCGGTACCGCAACTGAACCACTAGGGGCCCCGCAGGCATGGATGGACTGGGAATCCAGGTTAATCATCTCGTTATCTCAAGAAATCAATAACTGTTTTCTCCTGATAACGAGATAATTATCTCCAACTTTATTCTCATAATTTACGACTTTATTCTCATAATTTACGACTTTATTCTTGAATTAAAAAAATAAAATAAATCTCTAGCCTGGCCCTAATGCTCTGTCGTGAGATTCATTCAGCCCCTAAATTATTAATTCCTCTGGCAGATTCAGGTTTAAAGCGACCTTTAAATTTTACCCCTATGCTTCAGACTAGAGGAAGGGTTGCGTCTCCTGAGGGAGCTAAAGATTTGGGTGATGGTAAAGAGATCATCCAACCTCAAAGACTTGGAGTTCTTCACTAAAGGTGTTGAAATAACAGCTGCTGAACAAATATCAGAACAGTTAAAGTGCTGGAGAACAATGATTTTTAAATTCATCTTTGATGATATTGAGTTTTGTTTAGTTTTTTTCTGATTTGTTAGTCATTCTATATTGTTTTATTGCATTTCTAAGAGAAGCCTGCCTGAGCTTTAAAGCCAAATATTATCTAAATCCAAATCTTTCAGGAGACTGGATATTTGTGGGATGTAGTTTCCTGAAAAGTTTCTGTATTTAGAGCTGAGATTTAATGATGGGCCTGAAAATGTGTGAAAAATCCAAAACCACAAGTCAACCATTCAGAAAGCTTAGAGAAAAAGTTCATGAATTTCATTTTGGAAAACAAATAAAAAATTGACGATAAAAGGAATGAGGGGGACTTTGAAATGTTTGGATGGTTCTGAATCCTGCTTTCATAAATCATATCAGTGGCTTTAGTCACATTAGGTCAGAAAGGGGCAAAAATCCCTGAGGATAACAGAGCCTCCATCACACTGACATGGCCTTAAATCTCATGTCCATTTTGCCAATAGATCTGATGAGCATCTGCTTCCGTCCCTCATGTATATCTCTCTTTGTCTGCTGGTTGCATTTTGTCAGATAAGCAGTATTTGTAAAGCGTTCATAGAGAAAGAGCAGTTTGACCCTATTTATACAGCTGCCTGCAGCGTAGATCGGCCATGTTTAGAGCTAATTACCAATAAGGGAGAACAAGCGAGCATGAAGCTTACAGCACGGCAGCAAACGGCAAAAATCACAAATGAAAATGGATGGTGTTGCTTTTTTTTTCTGTTCAAAGCTGTGAATAAAATCTGTTTTCTCGTATGTTTTTCACTCCAGTTTTTGCGGTTGCAAGCATTTGGTGTTCAGTTGTAGCCAAAACTAACCAGCGCAATATTGAAATGGATCGTCTATGTAATCTTAATGTTTATCTTTTAATTAAACTCTGTTTTTTTTTTATCTGTGTATTTAGTTTATTAATTATGTGCTTTATGATGCTTTTTCTTTGCCTAACATTATTAAACGAACACAATAATATGCCTAGAGAATAATAAATGTTTTCTTTCGCTCTTTGAAACTGCTAACATGTATTTTGTTTTTTATGTTGTCTGTTTAGTACATGATACAACCTAAACAATAAAAAATAAAAGGAAAACATGTTTGATTTCAGATATATTCATCTCCAATTTTCAAAGTTTTTAAATCAGGAGTTGGAAACCAGGCTCACACTGAGTCTGGTTCTGCTGGAGGTTTCTTCCTGTTCAAAGGCAGTTTTTCCTCTCCACTGTCGCTACAAGCATGCTTAGTGTGAGGGATTGCTGAAGAGTCAATGAGTCGATGCAATCAGCTGGTTTTCCTTAGATAGAAAACTTTGAATCAATCTGACTGGATGATCTGGTGAACTGGAAAGTGACCTGAGATGACATGATGTGAAATGGAGCTATAGAAATAAACTGAATAGAATTATTTCTCGATTGAGATTTGGATAGACTGGCTTAAACAGTTCTCGTAAACTTTGTGAATTTAAGCAGTCACAAATTACTAGCAATATTTATGGTTATTTAATGTGTTTTAAGAGAAAAATCAGGTTTGTTTTTTTCCATTTCATTTTTTCCCCATTTGATTCATTCATTTATAAAAATCTTAATTTGTTAAATAAAAAATTAGTTTGCAAATTAAATATTTAGTTTGTTAGATAAATATTTTGCTCCAAACTGAATATTTATCTATTTATAAATATGTAGATCCAAATTAATTTATTTAACAAACTAAATATTTAGTGTTGAGCTAAATATTTAAGAAACTAAATATTTAATTTGCAAACTAAATATTTATTTAACAAAGTAAGATTTTTTATAAATAAATGAATGACATAGTGAAAAATTACTTGAAAAAATATAAGGCCCTGATTTTTCTCTTAAAACGCACTAACCATAAATATGGCTCCTAATGTTTGACTGCTTAGCTTTACAAACGGCGCCACATAATCTGTTTATCTTGGGAAAACAGAAGATTGCTAAATGTGAAAACTGTGGGTTAGATGAATCAATTATTGAGGAGGAGAGACAGCAATTAATTACAAAGTTTAAGCAAAGTAAAAGTTCAATTAGATTTATTTGAATTATTTAGAAGTTTTTCAGAAAGTAACATTTACAGGACAATATTTCGATATCTATAAATAAAACATTTGCAAATAGAATTTCATTTCTGAGTCATTCTGGTCCACACCCCATAATGGTGGATATTTGTTGCTGCCAACCACCAAAAATGTTAAAGATGAGCGGTCAGATAAAATGGCAAAGAGGGCAAATCAAAATCCTATTAGTTTTACAGTTAAACAAGTAAATCGTAGGGAAAGAGTTTTATTAAAGAAAACTGATGGGAAAATAGCAAAAAAGGTGGGATGAAGAAAAAACAAAATCGTGGTTTTATAAATTTCAGAAAATTGTAGGAAAAAAGAAATGGAAGACAAAATAGAAAGGAGGAGAGAAAGATAACAAGGTTAAGATTTCAGCAAACAGGATTGAATAAAACACTTTTCAAAATTCAAAAGCAAACTACTGGAAAATGTGATTACTGTGGAAAATATGAAACAATAGAACTTTTTATACTGGAATGTCATCAATATGAAAGCCAGAGAAGATATATGAGGAGAGAGTTTGAATGTATTAAAGAAAAGATTCATTTATTGGATATTTTGAGGAAGAATTTGGGGAGTAAACGTATACAAATAATTATTCGATTTTTTCATACAATTTGGTTATAGAGAGTGTGAATGTGTGTATGGTATAGACCGGTAGAAATACAAAGTGTATATAGATGGATAAATTCTAAGATTATATATAGCAGCATATGACATGATGTGGAGGGAAGGGTTATTAATTAAAATAAGAAGAATGGGTATAAATGGTCATATGTTTCGATGGATTAAAAATTTTCTAGAAGATCGAAGAATACAAGTGAGGATAGGGGAGGATTATTCTGAGAGTTGGAAAATTGAAAATGGAACACCACAGGGAAGTATAGTAAGTCCGTTATTATTTTCAGTGATAGTTAATGATATGTTTTGCTTTTAGCAGTTCAATGGGTGGAAGAGGTAAGACCATTAAAATCTATCATTTGCTCAGATTTCAGTTCGTCATTAATCAGTTTGCAAAATAATCAGTCAGTCAGTAGACCAGATATATTACTTGAAATACAACAAACACTTTACAGAATAAATATGATGGGGCTAGTGGTACATTTTGTGTGGGTTCCGGCACATAACGAGATAAAAGGAAATGAAAGGGCAGACAGGATGGCTAAGGAGAGTACCAATAAGTTAAGGGTAGACATTAATGTTAGTTTTGGTATAACAGAAATAAAGGGTATAATTAAACAAAAAGCAAAAGAGAGGTGGCAAAAGTTATGGAATGAAGAAAAGAAAGGAAGGTGGCTTTATAAAATACAAAAGAGAATTGGACCAATGAGAAGATCAGAAAGGAACAGGAGAGAAGAGATTATTATTTCTCGACTTAGAATAGGACACACTGGATTGAACAGATCGTTATTTTTGATAGGGAAACATCAGACAGGGAAATGTGACTGTGGGGAAGATGGGACTGTGGAACATGTCATTTTAAATTGTAGTAAATATTCGATACAGAGAAACAGGTTAATAAGGAAACTTAGTGACATGAAAATGAAACTTGACATTGTAGATTTATTGCAGAAAGAATCAGGAAGCAGAGGATATCGGGTTATATTTGAATTTTTGAAACAGATTAGGTTGTATAATAGGATATAGTTTTTTTTTTTTTTTTTTTTTTTCTCTGCCATGTAGTCCACACTCCATACCAGTTGGTGGCGGTAATGCTCACCTAACGTCTTTTGCCAACCGCCAATAAAACTCAATAAGAAGAAGAAGAAGAAGAAGAAGTAGAGGAGGAAGAAGACGAAGCAGCAGAAGAAGAAGAAGAAGTAGAGCCGCAGGCAGCATAGCTGCAGCTCGTTAGCTCATACGCAGTCCGGCTGCTGTCTCTGATAAATGCTGCTGGTTTCCGTTTCCTGATAATGAACCCTACAGATGTCAGGTTTGTTCCTATATTCGACATAACTTTCATTTTCTTTAGTAAACGAGCTTTTCAAACATCTCTCCTGTTTGTGAGGCAGACTGTTTACTAAGCTAGTTAGCTTGCTGCTAGCTTCCCTTCATGCTGCCGTTTCGCTTTTATTCCACCAAATCCTCTGAATGTGTCTTTAAAGCCAGGATTCAAATGAGGGAATATAAACTAAGCTTCTAGTTTAGCTTCCTGCAGCTTTCTTGAAATATTTGATGGGTTCGCTTCGTGTTTTTATCTAGCTAGTTAGCGCTAACTTTACTAGCTTCTTTCTTTCTTTGGAAATGTGCTCATACCTGCGATCAAATGGTCCATAGAGTCACTTAATCCTAATCTGAACCTTTGATTTATGTTTTAATCTGTCTAAAATGACACGATGCAGTTTATTTTGATCCAAACGTGGAGGATTCCTGCTAATGTAACTGTTAGCTTAACTTAAGCTCTAAACCAGTGGAAACCAGTTTAAAATGATCAGGGTCCGAATAAAGAAAACCATCAACCAGTAAAGGTCCAGAGACATTTTTTATTATAATCTGTTGCTTTAAACAGAATTTAATACTGAATTAAAATGCATACATGTTATTCATTACATAAAAAAAAAAAAAAAAAAAAAAAAAAAAAAATATATATATATATATATATAAATAAATGTTCCAATTTAAAATCTAAAGTGTTTTGAAGTAGAGAACAACAATCATTCTTGGTTTATAGATGATTTCCTGATTCCCATATTTTCTCAAACCCCTGAACTGATCGTTTGTTATTTTTCTTTCTTTTTTCTGTCTTAATGTTGGCAGTGGGCTTTAAGCTTTAAACCTGGGTTTGAATGGAGACTAAGCCATTCTCAAGCCATTCCAGACTCATTCCTCAGCTTATATATTCCCCAAAACTAAGACCGTTTGTTTAAACGATTGGATGCAAACTCTTGGTACTTCAACATATCAGGAAGCAGATTTCTCATCTCAATCAAAATATTTATTTTAGACTAAGAGGCTTAAAAGTTTCACCAAATCTAGTCAAAACACCCAAGAGCGCCTCTCACAACTTCAGAAGAAACTTCTCCTCTCAGGTCTGGATGAAGAGATGCTGAGTTTGGAAGCAGAAAACAAACAGAGTTCATCCAAACTATGGATGATCCTAATTATCCCTTCTACAAAAATCCACAAAAAACTGAAAACATTTGGGCAGAAACTGCACACATGTTGGCTGGATGATGGTGAGGATTTTTTTTTTATGTGAAATTAAGCACTGATTTTGCTCTTGAATTTAATAATATGGCGCATGCTCTCCTGGAGCTCAGAGGAAGTCAGAGCGGAGCAGGACGGGTGGAACAGGAGGCTGTAGGCTTTGCTTTGTGCAGGAGGTCTGGAGCGGAGATGGAGGATGTGGGGTTAGACGCTGTCCTCAGACAACAAGCTGTAATTTATAAATGTTTTAAATCAGGTCGGGTCCGGATTAGCCAGCAGGTGGATCCGGACCGCATCCGCTAATCCGTGACCTCTGCTGTAGAGTTAATGAAATGATCCATTTTCTTTGGGTTCTCCAAGCAGCGGGCTGGTGAGGGAAGTTGGGCCCATATTGGTCCAACTAACAGCCAATGTTTAATGTTTCAAACCAAAGGTGGGCCAAAGTTAATCTAAATGCAAGTATGCATGGGGCTTTTTATGCTTTCATAGAAGTAGTGACACGAATGCAGTATAAAAACTAAAATTATAGGAAAAAAAGAGCAATGCTTAGGCTGCATGGGGAATATTAAACCGTGTTATAAGAGGGAATCAAATAAAAAAAATATGTATTTCCAAATGATTTTGTTAAACCAAAATTTGGAAATGTCAGAAAAGGAAGCAAATACAAATGAGTTTTGTAAATATTCCACAAACATAGGATCTGATATTGCAGAAAGCATTCCGGAGACTATAGGAACCATTCTACTTCCTGGTTCTAGCTCCTTCCTAGGTGTGAGCACAATTTAGACAGCACTTATTGTGGCACTTCAGCCGTAGAAAGTTTCCTCAACGTTAGCTGGTCATGTGGCGGGGAAGAGCTCCCAGCTGCTTCTGCCAGAAATAAATCTTTGTCTCCCAGCCAGACACGTCCTGTTCTCCTGTTAAAGAAACAGAAACAGACGCGTGAAGAAGTTAAATTTAACCTCCTAAATCTGTTCAGGCAGCAGCAGAGCTGATGAGGTTTAGATCAATGCGTGGGAGATAATTGGTTCACATTCTGACACAATGGGAAAGTTTGAGGTGTTTGTTTTAAATGTGGAATAATTCAAACGTTTAGATTGGCTCTCCTCTGTTTAACACCAATAAAAAAAAAGAACTGTGCCTCCTGTGGATATCACAGATTGTTAAGTTTGCTAAATCAAAGTTTTCCAGCATAAAAGTATATTTTTATATATCAGCCTGCACCGTTTGTCCATCTCTGATATTTTTCTCTGTTTTCCAAACTTTTTTCTGCGAATCCTTCAGCTGTGAGAACATCTGTGAGAGGAGATCGTAGGTTCCTCACTCGATCTGTTCTCATAAGAATCGGAAGTTATTTTCTTCAATCCAAATTCCCTGAATTTACACAGATGTACACTTTGTTTTTTCTGTTAAAAATGCATCAGAGATGATTTGGAAACAATGAAAACGTCCTAATATTCACACTAATTCATATGAAGATAAAATTTCATGTTTTATTGTGACTCCTTAGTGAGGATAGTGATAAAGGTGATAAAGAGTCATTTATAGAAATGATGATAAAATTATTGCTGGTTTTAATTCTCAATTTCAAACCATTAAAAGCTGAAACTATTTGTTCTGATTTAGGGCTGCAAATAACAATTATTTTGCAAATTAATCTGTCGATTTTTTATTTTATTTTTTTTGATTAGTCTATTAATAATCAGACAGCCAAATGTTCCTTAAATACTTTTTACTAAATGAAAGCAGGTGAAACTAAAACTTTTCCACTTTGAGGCGTTCTGGTTAAAGCAGCTTGATGGAAGAAACTTTTTTATCTTAAATGCTAAATGTTTATATATATTTTTTACAATCTTGGTATAATTTCTTTCTCAGCTAAAGGCATGTTTTAGAGTCTCTATACTCCAGTTAACGATTGCATCTAAAAATATCAGTCATGTTTTCAATTCAAACTATAGATATAAAGTAATAGATTAAAGAAAAGAATGGCTTAAATCATCAAATCGATGTCAGTTTAATCTGCCAAAGAGGCGGGCTGTAGTGATTTAAAATTTCCAGCAGGTGTCAGTAACCAGTGACACAGTATTGATACAATATCAATAGTTTGCTAATGTGTCGAAACGCTTTATGACGTCTGATCTACCCATCACTAACGGACAATATTCTCCAAAAGACAAAAAAACCCTAAAATGATCCTATAGTTATCAGGCATTCGAAGAGTCTCGTAAACTTTTCAAAGTTTGAAGCTAACTTGCTTGCAAACAGCGTAACGTACTTGTTCCACTCAGGAAAATTGTCTGTAGGGAAGTTAGATATTCCACAGCGCCCTGCGTCACGCCGACATGTGACCAATACGAGGCAACGTTTGAGCTTAGCGCAAGATTAGGCCAGACTACAAAGGACATTCAAGATGGCGGCCCGGTGAAGACCCCACCGGCAACTTAGAAATATTTGAGCGAAGGCGGGCTTACAATTTGTTTCTTTGCATTTTGTTTTTTAGTAAATGCCGTACATCGTACGGCGTTGCTGCTGTATAGCTAAAAGCCTGATCGCAGCTGAACGTAGACCACCCTTCAAAATCCCAGAAAATCCTGGCTCTGTAGTCAGACAAAAAGCGAATGTAAGGATGTGTTTGAATTCATGCGTCCTTCGAGGGCCGATGATAAAGGTTGGCAGCCCAGAAGCTGGGCTGCCAACCTTTGACTGTCTGATGTAGAACTATGAAGCTGTAATTAGGAAGCATATAGAGGGAATTAATCACAACTGGTTTATTGTTTGGTATGAAATAATGTTTCTTTAACATTATGCCATCCTGCCTGGTGTTTAACGCTGTGAGTTAGCCACGTTAGCATGCAGTTAGGGTGATGATAAGCTGGGAAACGGTTTTACATTTCATCGGCCTTAACCTGTGCTGATTGTTTTTCCTCACCAGCCGCACACTGATAGATCACTGGAAGCTGCTGCTCTGATTTGACCTTAAACGCCTCACTGATAAACCAAAGAGGCTGAAGCTCGATCTATGCCTGATGCACGCGGGTTAACGTACAATGAGGCACACAGACACAATGTCCACAGCTTCAGTGCGTCTTCCGTGGCTTCTATACTCCGTGCTGCTTTTTCACTTGTGCCTAATATGCTGTCCTGCTCCAGGGGGCGGTGCAGCACAAACCACAAGCTTACAAAACCACATTACATGAGGAAGTAGAAAATACAATTTTCTACCAGCATCTGTAACGGTCTGCGGAGCTCGCAGCAGCAGTAAGCAGAAATGAAGCTTCAGGAATCCTCCTGTTTTTACACTTTTAAAGGTTTTTGGTTTTATTTCTGGGTGCATCAAGCCAACTCTGCATGTTTGTTACCTCAGGAAGTGATTCGTTCCTCTTAGGCCTGGGAAATTTATTGCATTTAGGGCTGCAACAACGAATCGATAAAATCGATAAAAATCGACTTTTAAAAGCGTTAGCAACGAATTTCATCATCGATTAGTTGTGTCGCGCGATTATTGCGTCATCCGCCGCGCCGTCATCACTGCCTCTTGACTGAAAGAGGAAGAAAAAAAAATATGGCAGAGCGAGTCAGCGCCGCAGGTGCAGTGTTGCCAACTCAGCGACTTTTCAGACCCCTCCAGCGACTATTTTTCAAAAAAGCGACTAGCGACAAATCTGGCGACTTTTTTCGGTTTCACTGGCGGCTTTTGGAGACTCTTACGTGAAAGCATGTATCGTTTCTACTCTGCCGTGGGGCGCCTCCCCCACCCCAACCGCGTTTTCCTGCAGGAGTCCCTCTCAGCGCTGCAGTCAGAGCCTCAGCGTCCAGACTGCAAATGAAGCGCGCATGCGCCGGGATTGACGGCGCAAATTGATCACAATAATTAAAATAGCCTGCGCTTTGTAAAGCGAAAAAAGTGATAACATGCAACTTTTTTCAAAAGAAATTAACATGGCACGGAACCACCATGTTTGTTGGGTTTTAAAGTGGGGAAACGTTACGTTAGTTTCTCAGGTAGCTCATCTGATGCTTTCCTTACTGTGTTAGTAGGTTACAGACAGTGATAAGGTTGGCTACTTATTTTACTTTTAATTTCATTTGAATTAGCTTAAGCAGCGTTTATATTTTCTTTATAAATAAATTAACTTGCAAATTATGAGGGCAAGGCTTTTAAAGTTTAAATCTTCTGGCAAAGATAAAGTAAAGAAGATCCTGCAATTTATGGAAGTAAAGCAGAATAAAATCCAGCAAGATCAGTAATATGTAAATTAATTATCTGCCACATTCCCATGTAAATATCTGTCTTTGGAGGATGTGTTTTTTAGCACCCCTAGTTCTCTCATTTTTATTCCAAATACAATTTATAATTTGAATCACAGGGCTATTTTTATCTCTATGGTTCAGTATTTTCTTAAGTAGCAACTTTAACTGCTGTACTTTCCTGTCTTAAAAGGCAGAACTCTTCTAGTCTAAAAAAACTCATTTGTTGAAATGGGGGGGCCTATTGTTTGAACCCCTTAGGGGCTTTTAAAAACAAAAATGTCTTTTTTTGCGCTTTATGAAACAAAGTACCCTATATTTTGTGGATGTACAGCTACATTTCTCATGTAAGTTTGCGTAGTTTTAACACAAACATTTATTTTTCATATTGCACCAGGACAGGTAATGAGCAACCTATACATGTGTGCTTGTTTGTTCTGTCTAAAATTTTTATTTTGGAATAAAGAGGTTAATATAAAAAATATTTTTTGTCCGATTCATCGATTAATCGAAAAAATAATCGTCCGATTCATCGATTTTTAAAATAATCGTTAGTTGCAGCCCTAATTGCATTTGCAATATAATCGCAGTTTAACAAAAACACAATTTTCAAATCGCATAGACGCTGTTTTTTTTTTGTTTTGTTTTTTTTAATCCCACTGTAATACAGAGTAAGAAAGAATTTCTCCCTCCAGCGCTTTAGGTGGTGATTAAACTCATAAAGTGGGTTTGTCGTCACACAGAAAGGTAGAGTTTCAGTTAGCAGCCAGTGTTGTTTCTGGCAGCCATCTTAGTTTCATCATTATGATGATGTGATAGTTTTAGGCGCCTAAAACTTTAAAAGGTTTTAGTCAGTTTTATGTTGCAAAACAAAGTTAACATTTATAATTTGGAATAAAAAGCAGATTATTTCCCAGACTAACAGCTCTATCCTAGATGCTACAATAGCTGGGTATAGAATGCTGCCGTGCAGATCATCATTGCTGTTGGGCAGAAAACTTTGATTTATAGAATTAAGGTTTCATCTGAGGTATGAAACCTTAGATGACCTTACAGATGGTTTAATCAATAAATCCTCTTGACTTCTTTGATGTTAAAGTTAATAAATATTTGTATCGTTTTTTCTTCTTCTCCATTATTAAACAGTTCTTTCTTTGCGATAATAATGGACCAGTATTCCCTCCATATTCCAGGGTCTTTAAAGGGATGATTAGTTTTCTTAAGGACTAGGATTATAATCTGGATTTTCTCTGCTTGGGTCTCATCTAGAATTCCCTTTTTCCCCTCAGGGATGACCTGACGACAGAAACTTCCAGCAGCTTTGTCCTCTTCCTGCATCATCCCAGTTCCGTTGGGTAGAATATCCTCCTCCATCGCCGCCATCAGCTCCCGGTTCGTCCCCGATCGCCCTGACCTACGGTGACCATGTACTGCCTGCAGTGGCTCCTCCCCGTGCTGCTCATCCCCAAGCCGCTGAACCCGGCCCTCTGGTTCAACCACTCCATGTTCATGGGTTTCTACCTGCTCAGCTTCCTGCTGGAGAGGAAACCCTGCACCATCTGTGCCTTGGTGTTCCTGGCCGCCCTCTTCCTCATCTGCTACAGCTGCTGGGGCAACTGCTTCCTCTACCACTGCCAGGATGCCGCACTGCCGGACGCCGCCCACGACCCCGCCATCGTCGGCACCTAGGAGGAGGCGGCATGAGCAGGCGGCGGCGGTGAAGGGGATTTACTGTAGAATGACACTGCCACGCCGGAGGAACACAGAGGGCTCAGCCAACGGTTGGAGACGAAGATCAGCAAACTAGAATCAAAGGGAATCTTTAAGTTTGAGCCGACAGGATGTTTTATTTCCAGCGTTTGGGTCTGTGAGGCATTAGAAAGTAGAAACTGAACGTTTTCTGTTTCTCCTGGTGTCCAAAGCTCTGCAGCCCGTCTGCGAGACGTTCTTCACGGTCCGATAAAACGCAACAAGCTTCTCCTGGACCCATCAGTGTTTCCACCTCTTCCTGCGCCTCCATTTTGTTTTGTTTTTTAAGCAGATTTTCCTCCTGCATGATTTGCTGTTTTCTTTTTTTCCAAACTGTCAGATTCAGTTTTTAACTTGAACAAAACGCTGAAACCTTCCAAAGGGTACCGACCGGCGGTCGGCCGGCGCGGCGTCTGCTGATGCTGAAATATTGAAACCGTGCGGACTCTGCAGGCGGCCAACAAGGAGACACGGGTCGGCCATCTTTTTTTATCAACCGTAAGCAATACAGGAAGCTGGAACCACCTTTATCCCTGCAGGACGTCTGATGATCATTTCTGTTTCCACGGTGATCCGGCGCTCCCAGTGCTGATGTTTAGCTGTCAGACTCTTTGTTCCGTGTTCCTGCTGTGGGGGGGGGCGAGGAATGTGCTCAACGCCGCAAGTTTACCTTGGTTTTAATTTAAATAAAGTCTTTCTTCAGTGTTTGGATGTTGTGCTTTTTTCTTTTTACGATCAAGCAGATTAGAGTCTGCAACCTTTGGAAGGGAAAGGAGCCATTTTATCCCAGAGTCCAGCTAATAAAACCCTTTAGACACAATGTTTAAAATAAAAAACAGATTGTTTTAATACGTTTTTGTTGAATCATTTAGCAAAGCAGGGTAACAACAAATAACAGACGAATGCAGGGGAGGAACAGTGGCGGATCTAGACCAGATGTATCGAGGGGCCAGCGTGTTTTCATGGGGGCCCAGAAAAGCATGAAATTAAAAACGGAGCAAGAGATTTAAATATATTTAGAGAGCTGCATGAAGGGAAATTTATTTTCAATTTGATTCAATAGAAATTCTATTTCTTATGAGGTCAATATACATTTATAATTCAGGAATTTTACATATTTTTAACTTAATTTATATTACAACTGCTGTTTTCTATCAAATTTGAATTAGAAGTCAAGAAAAACTTAAATTCATCTGTAAAAATTAGAGGATTTTTTTTTTTTTGTGAAAATAAAACATTTATCAGATGCAAACTGGGATCCTATCTCAATACCACTGAAGTCTTATCATCATCTTATTGTTTTTGAATAATTAGTAAAACAGAATTTGTGAAGAAAAAGAATGAAATGGATCCAAAGGACCCGACAGTAACCATGTCTGTTCCAGCGCAGATCATCATGAGAATTTCTGGCCCCCGTTGGCCCCTGTCTAGAACCGGCCATGGCGAGCTGTATGCTGAGGTTAAGATCTCCCTGACATGAGTTTTTGGAACTTGGGATGTCTGCATCACCCTTCATTTAGATGAGGCAGAAAAAATGGTTTACTGAAACTTTTCCATACTAAGAAAAAAAGGGCAATTTAATCCGCAACAAAAGGCTGATTCCTGTTTTAACCAAAGTTTCCTCTGAACTCCTTCAGGCTTCAGTTCTCTGGTTCAACCAGCAGAGGGCACCATTCCTGTGACAGATTGTATATTTTTTTCCGTCTAAAATCTTAAATCCGTGCTCTGGGTTTTGTTGCTAGTTGACATATTTTGATAAAACCTGAAGTCATAAACAGAACAGATCAAAGTGAGCAATGGGTCTGCGATTAATTTCAAACTTCCTCTATTCCAGAACAGTTGAACAAAAAAATAAAAACTTTTTAAATCCCCTCTGATGCCATCTGTAAATCCTACATTTTGATGTTAAAATAAAGCAGCAGAACGACACTGAAGGGGAGAATCCTGCTTTTATTCAGTCGAACAAAATATCTATTTTTACTCCTGTATCATAAACACAGGGAAGGATTTAGGAAATGGAGAAGCCAACACATAGAACAGCCCCATTCTACAAATAGAGAAATGTTAATAGAATAGACATCCGTGATCTGTTCTAGGTTTTGTCCCTCTCTTCTTGTCCCTTTTCTTCTTGTTTTCCTCTCTATGTTTTGTACTCAGCTGACTTTTCATGCTGTCTCTAAAGGAATGAAAGATTTTTTCCAAGCACTAAGCTCACTTAGCTGATTGCTCCTTCCTGTGTTTCCAAAAAGGCCAAAGTAAATAACCCAGTCCTTCTTTTCACTGTAGACAAGCCATGATCTGCTTCTCTGTTCTCCATTTTTCATTTGGATGAAAGAATAGCTGCATGAATCATGACAGCAGACAAGATAGAGGAGAGCAGGAGGCGGGGTTACCAATCTACTTGCTCTGGAGAGCAGAGTTCGCTGCTTTTAGATGTTGTCTCCAAAGTCTCCAGTAGCAGAAAAAAGTCTCTAGATTTGGCGCTAGGAGCTTTTTAGAAATCAAAGTTCTAGAGGGGTCTGAAAAGTGGCTAAATATAGCGACTAAAGCGCTAAGTTAGCAACACTGCTCTTTGCATGGTTTGTTTTCAAATGGTTTGCTGCTGTCTGTTTGGACCTTTCTGAACATGTGCAGCAAATGGACTGATCCAATATGGTGGACACTGAAGGGGGGGCTGAGACACACTTAATATTATCAGCGTTCTGATGGCATTTTAGCCAAAGGATTTTTATCAAAAACATCAAAAATGTGCAGAAATAAATAATAGTTATATTAACCATTCAAGTAAAATGAGTTTTATGGGGCCCCCAGGAACTTGGGGCCCTGGGCACCTCCCTATTATGGCTGAAAGGTAAATCCGCCCGTGCATAAACACATATTAAAAACATCCACGATGAAAATAAATGTTCATTTTTGATTTCGATGCTGTATCCGACATTCTGTAATAGAAAATGTTTCTGCAACTGAGAACTAGCAGCTCTTCATGTCTTCCTCGTCTCTGCTGGTTGCAGTTGCTAAAGGAGAAGTTTCCGTCTCGGTTTCCTGACAGGTCAGTGAAATTAGTCACAGTCCGAGTTCTGTTCCAACATCTCCTATAAAATGGTGATCTCCGTCTCTTGGTTCCGGTAAGCCTCCTCCTGCATCTCTACGGACATCTGCTGCATTCTCTGGAAGGCCTCGTATCCTTTCTTACCTGGACGGAAACAACAAGAAAGTGAAACCATGGCAACCGGAGAGGCTGCCAGGATGAAGAGACGCTCGGGTTCGCACCAAATGACAAGATGGTTTCCTTGGCGGTGCTGCGTAGATCTTCATCCGTGGACCTCCACAGCTCGGCGATGTGGTCCACGCTCTCGGTGGCCTGGCGAACAGAGAGAGGCGGTGAGTGAGTGGAGCTGCCCGGGACTGGGAACGTCGGCTGGACCGGTTCTGCTCACCCTGAGGCATTTCAGAGCCAGGCAGGATCCCTGCTGGATCAGAACATCCGAGCTCTTCAGGCTCTCCGTGTAGAAAACCAGCGCCTGGAGCAAAGAGCCAAAACACACCATCAGAGCAGCGCTCTCTGAAACCAGCAGCGCGACTCAACTGGGATCAGTGGGAAGCTGATGGCAGACATGATAATACAGAGTCGGATAACTGGCAAGAAAAACGTGAATTTGTAAATGAAAGTTAAAATTGTAAACAAACATACAATTTAAGTTTGTTCCTTGTAACCTCAGATAGATGAGAGATCAGATTTTAATCTGTAACGCTACGTTCAGACCGCTAGCAGCAGAAATAGCTAATTTACATGCAAAGTCAATGCTTGAAGTGCATCAAGGTGCAGCTAAACGTCCCTCAGCGCGTTTTGAGCAGCAGGAGCAGCACCTCATGAGCTTCTGAGCATCTGAGGCGCAGGACGAGCTGCTGGAGTTGGAAACATTTAACTTTAGCTGCTGGACGCGCCGCATCAACCAATGAGAGAAGCTGATCTGGGAGCTGGCAGGGAGTCAGACACAGCACTGCTGATGCAGAGCGCTATGATCACTCCTCTGAAACAGTTTATTAACGCCTAAATTAACTTCAAATGTAGAAACCTGCCGGCAGAATATGTTGGCTTTTATTATCCTGCTGCCTGCAGTTTGTAGCACAGACCTGAAAAACGCTAACATCTACTTCAAGCCGCCACCAACAGTAGGGGAAAACCCCCAAGAGGCCTGAGGGAGCTGCTGCTGGGGATTCCCAGTGACAGCGCAGCGCCGGTATGTGGGGGTCTGAGCGGCTCCCACAGAGAAATAATCTTTGAAGGCAGGATGGTAATCTGGATGAACTGACTGCACAGACCATGTTTTCAGGAGGACTTTCTCACTTCAACATAGATTCTAACTACTTTTTACCCGCTGATCACAGCTAATATAGCTGCCATTGTTCCAGGCAGAGAAAGGATCGGGTAGCTCCGCCCACCACGCATCAGACCCACTTTATCACCGCGCAGCTAGAGCAGCAAAGATGCTTCAGCTACACGTCAGAACTGACTCAGACTGTTGAGGAGGACCAGTGGACCATCCTTTTTCTAACACACTTAATCCCAGGTGGGGTCACGAGGGGTGCTGGTGTCTACCTCCAGCTGCCTACAGGTGAGAGGCGGGGTCCACCCTGGACAGGTCTCCAGTCCATCGCAGGGAAACACAGAGACAAACAGGACAAACACTCATTCACGCATAAGGAGAATTTAGAGAAGCCAGTGAACCTAACAGACCAGTGGACTAATATCTTATAATTTATATATAATTCCTCTATCTAAACTATCTAAACTAACTAAATCTATCCTAACAGGGTCTAATCCAATGCAAATGAATAGATAGCATCTACTATAGAAATCACTGACTGTCAAAATTCACTGGCACCTGTAATAGATGTAATCCGTCTCCTGCTGACCTCATGTTTTGGTCGTTACCAAGATGAAAGATTTTTGGTGTGAGATATTTGCTACCGTCCACAGGGCTGCATGCAGGGAGGATCCCTCCTCTTTTTAAGCTATTTCTGATATTCTTTAAACTAAATCCTTCTCAAGCAAAGCCCGACACTGCATGGCTTTCTGTTCTTTACTGGAAAGACGTTTAATTTAGCTTATCTGGGAAAATACTTACAGTCGACTGGTCTAAGAGGTTCTGTTCAATTTCAAGTTGGAGAGGCTTAGATTTTCCTTTAAGGGTTCATTGAGTAATTTAATCATTCAGTAGGACCTGGGACCCCCTGCTCTCCATCATACACACTCTACACATCCAACCAGTTGAGTTATTTATTTTTCTCCTCTTTAGATTTCGATGTTTTTTCTTTTCACTATTATTTTTTCTTCAGGTTATTAGTATTTTTGTTTTTTCATTGCTGTTCCCTTTCTCTTCCTGTCCCTTAGTCTGTAATTTTAATCTACTGTCATTTATGCTCTTTGCTTAAGCGTGAGGTTGGGGGGATGTGGGTGTGGGAGGGGCTGGTGGGTGGCTGTTTTTTCTGAATATTGTTTTTTGAAAAAGGGACTATTTTTTGTGTTTGGGGTCCATTTCTGGGCTGTGGCTCAATAAAGACATCCATAAAATAAAATAAATAAATAAAAAATTCTCCCTGAAATTACATCTGTGAATTGAAACAAGTCCGGCTCCCAAACTATAAATAGGAAATACAATAAATTGTTTGACAGAAAGGCATTGAGGAATATTTTTCAGGTGGA